CAGCGCTGCTGAGCAACGGCTACGGCAGAGGAAAGCGACCGAGAAGAAGCGAGCAAGCAAATGAGCCAGCAAGTGAAAATGAGCGAAGTCAGTCACACAGTGCTGCACTAGCTGCACACTGGTGGACAGACAGGCTGCCTGGACAGCAGTATATGCAGCGTGGCAAAGAGAAAGAGAAAGAGAAAGGCTGCAGCCAGGCTGTGCCACGACGACGACGACCAAGGCGCCAGCTGGCGACGCCAAACAGAACCGAAGAGGAGAGGGGAATGATGACGCCACCGTGTACACTGCAGTGTACAGCAGTGAGTGTACCAGGGGGGGGAGGAGGAGGGAAAAAGCAGTGCTCGTACACTGAAAGAAATGCCCCTAGCATAGCCAACACTCATAGGTTCATCACTTGAGTGATGATGATGCAGAGGATGACTATGTTTTGGAAGCTAATCACTGGCCGCGGGCGGCGCTGGTGTTCCAATATTAGTGATAATCTTAGACCGTACCGTAGATGATGAATGGGCCGCAACGGCGGCGGCGGCGGCGGCGGTGGCCGCTGCTATCTCTCTCTGTGATGCTCTGTTGACAGTTTGGCTGCATCTCAGACACTACTGCCTCACTGCTTCACTGGCAGCAAATACATTTTTTCTCTCTCTGCTTTTTCTCTCTGCTTTTTCAGCTACTGCTGCTGCCACCGAAGCAACACACAGCGACCGTCCAGGCAACTAACCAACTGACTGACTGACTAGCTTCACCTTAATAATTCCTCCCCTCCCTCTCTGACTGCCTCTCTTTGCTACCTCTCCTCTCTTTTTCTTGCCCCTGTTCTCTCTCTCTCTCTTTCTTTCTTTCTTTTCTTTTCTCTTTCTATTGCTTCTTCACGCACACATAAACACAGCTGATTGCCGTCGTCGTCGTCGTCGTCGCCTTCGCCGTCGCCGATCTATCTCATCCGTCAACCGCCGCCACTTTTCGCTTCTCTGTCCACCGTCAACGGACCAAGCGATAATCAGAAATCGAAACAGCAGTTGTAGTGGTAGTAGTGGCGGTTGTAGTAGCGGCACCGATTCTACAAATAGCATCTTTGAAGACAAAAACAAACATCTAAACGGAGCGCATCATTAACACTACCATTATCGTCACCACAACCAGTCACCACATCCTCATCACCACCACCACCAGTCACCTCGTCAACACCTCATTACCATTGCTGTCTTCTTTTTCTTCTTTTTTCTTTTTCTTTCTCTCTCTCTCTCTCTCCTCTCACTTTATCACCACTTTATTTTTATCATCTTCCAGTTCATCTCCGAGAACTGCCCACCGAATACTGAGAACATTTGCCCACGTGCCCTAAACTTCAAACAGCAACACTTTCCTCTTTCCTTCTCCTTAATCTTCTTCTCTCAGTAGTTGAGTTAACGCCGATGCCTTACTTAGAAGCTTATTCCAATCCTTTATCTTCCTCCTTCACCTTCTTCTTCTCCTCCTCCTCCTTTTCTTCTTCCTCCTTTACTTCAGCTTAACTTTGCCTAATTCTGGAGAAGCTCAGCTTCAACAGCTCAAACTTTGCTAGTGCTACAACTTTCCTCCTTGTCCTCCTTCTTCCTTCTTCCTCTGGTCTGCTATTTTTAAACTGAAGCAAACAAACACCAGCCAACACACACGTGCTCACACCTTTAATAACTTTTGCTCAACAACTCAGATCTGAAAGGCTTATAAAGAGGCCACCGTCGCTGCGATTAAACAGCAGAGCGTTCACTCACAGCAGCAGCAGCAGCAGCAACAGCAGCAACAGAACAAACAAAAGAAAATCTTCAAAATCGAAATCGAAATCGAAATCGAACAACACACCGCCGTGTCAGCAATGTCGTTCAACAGCACTTCAAACACTTCAAACACTTCAAGCCCTTTGGAGTCTTCGAAAAAATCAGCGGCCGTCTCGGCTGCGGCCATCGACGACGTCCTGGTGTCGGTGCCTTCCCGGGCCGCTCCCTCGGTGCCTGCCACCAGGACTGGCGTGGCAGCTGCCGCCATTTCCGCCGGTGGTGGAGTTGGCGGACCGGTGTGCAGCACACTGCCCAGCACCTCTCCTTCCGCCTCCTTTGGCTTTGATAACAACTTTATGCCTTTTCCGCCCTCGTCCGTGCCTCAACAGCAGCAACTACCGCAGCAGCAACCAGTCTTCACTCGATCAAGTAAGTGCTGCTGTTTTACGACGTCTCCTGAGGATTGCTACTGCTTTTGGTTGCTGGTTGTCGTTCTTGCTGCTATCGCTGTCAATGCCTCCTTTTTTTGTTTTCACTCACCCTTTCTCCTTTCCTTATCTCTTTCTTTTTCTCTCTCGTGTGTTTTGCCAATGACGCACCGTACACCTTTTCCGCCTCTCTTCCCTGTCTCCCCCTCTTATCTCTCCTCCTTATCTCTCTCCCTCTCTCTCTCTGTCTTCTTTTCTCCCTTTTTCTGTCTCCTCTAATCGTCACCATTACTCGTCATTTCAGGCAATGACCANTCTCTCTTCCCTGTCTCCCCCTCTTATCTCTCCTCCTTATCTCTCTCCCTCTCTCTGCCTTCTTTTCTTTTTTCCCTTCTCTCCTTCCTCTAATCGTCACCATTACTCGTCATTTCAGGCAATGACCACCACCATCACCGCCACCACCACCGTCAGCAACCGT